AAAAACAAACAAACAAATCCTATAGTTCTCTAAATTTTCCAACTAATCAATCATTTAAACTTTTTATGGTATTCGCGATTTTCTTTTTTTTTTATGTCAGTTAGGTTTGATCTTTTCTGCCATTCTTTTCTTCTTTTTAGGAATATACCGCTTATGAATTACAAGCAAATTATTTTTAAAAATTCCCCAATCTGTCCTAAGTCATCTTTAAACTCATTGTCGTAATTCACTAATGATATTTTCTCATGGCCTCAGAATTGGCTTTCTGAAAATTAGGAACTAAAATTTATAGTGAAACATAACATCTAATTAGGCAATGAACAGTCTTTCCTAAATGTCCCCGTAATTCAACACTTACAATCAAATCCTCATTAGTTTCCAAAGTCTCAAATGGCCATCCTTCTGCTATTCTGTCTGACAATTTGAAAAAAAACCAAAAAAACCATCTCGAATCACTCTAAATCCCCTAGTCTCGCTAGTTGACCCCCAAAAGTTCCAATCAATGTGTCTTAAAATTATAGTCTACTAGGCCATACTATTTCATTCATGTTATTATTCACTCAAAGAAATCCCTCACCCTTAATACTTGACCCCCAAACATCTCAGTCAATGGGTCTAAAATTAAGTCTGCTATGCCATAAGTATTTTATCAATGTTCTTATTAGGAACAACCCCGATTTTATTATACAATTTCTCATTTGCACCGTTTGTCTGGTCAGGAGGCCAATGACAATTGCCTCCGAGTGCAACACATTTGGATTCAACTTCTTGACTTACATTTTTTGTATCTTTAGTCTTAACAGACTACAGTTATGTTCCCCTCTTTAAAGGTTTATCACTATTGAATAATTCGTACCCTTGAATTTCAAAATAATTCCTGTTATCAATACGTAATAAACAAAGTTTAGAGGTAGGCAGTGAGCATTTTATTAGAAGTTGAACACAGTAACAAATACGGCAGTCAAACTTTTCGTTTTACTTACGTCCGTATGATTTTACGAATTCAAAACCAGGAGAAATTAACGTACAGAATAGGGATGTAATATGTAATAACAGCTTCTGTTTTAACCCCCCCCCCCCCAAACAAATGTGGAGGGAAATCAGTATCTGTAATTAATTTGTTTCTCTGACAATTTTAAAGTTTTTGAGGCAATTTTTGACAGACGACTAAGTCTACGTTTTAATGACGACAATAGACTAGGCCTACGATGGATTATCAATGTAGATCTAGGAAAAGATTTATTGACTAGTGAAAAAGATTCACAGTAAAGGGGAAAAACTGTCAGAAGTCTGATAT